ATAATTTTAAAATGAGCATATCTTTAAAAATTCCGATACACAGTCTCACGCGCTGGAGATAAAAATGCTTTTTCCTTAGTGTTGCCATTGCTCGCTTTGAAATTGTTGAGTTTGTTAATGAAAACTTCGTTAAATTTTTACAAACTATGAAATAGATAATAAAACAAATTCCAAGTTTGGGCTTTCAGATGTCCATATTTGGGTGGAAAAGTACGTTATTCAAAATTCGATGGCTCTGGGTACCGTTGTTTTATCACAGTGCGAGAAACATACATTCATGTAGATTCTTCATTATTTAGTTTATTTAAATATAATGTAGAGATCGAATATTTGGTGTCAACATTTTGAAAAGAGAATCGACATTTATAGTGAACCAACGCAAAATGGCAAAACGAAATTAATAACACTTCTGGGGAAGTTTCTCCTTTAGACAAATAATTTTGTTCTTATAATATTTCCACTTTTATACTTCATAGATTTATTTTAACGGAATTTTGGGATAAAAAGGAATTTTCGATGTTTTAACAGTTACTTTAATATCAGTTTGATACCTCGATAATTTTAAGGAGAAGTCGTTGTAGGATATAATATTGTTACGAAATGCCCAGTTGCGGAAAGATAGGTTCCCCGCAAAGCGGATTTAGGGTTGCCAGAAAATGGTAAAGAAAGACAGGGTTGCCAGATTTGGCGCGAAATAGCCCACTTATCAACAAAATCGGCGATATGCCATAGACGGAGCGAGAGCATTTTTAGAACGAATTTTTACCGTTTTCTCCAGAATGTTCTCGAAGACAGGTCAAAAGCTGTAAATACCCTGCCTGTTCGCGGAGTAGCAGTTTACTATGAAGAGCATCTTGAATGTGTTGAGTTCTGCAGCAGTGCTTTGAGCTCAGAGGTTAGCTTGAGAGCGATTAACCGAGTAGGTAGTTGCACTTTAATGCTGCACGGGGAAGCTGTCTTCGCCGCTATAACCTGAAGGCTGTGTTGCTGACTGTTGCTGGCTGTGTTGCTGACTGAATGTTTATAGTAGTTTTTCGAAGGCTGTAAGCATGTCTTTGGAACTTTCCTGTGTAATACTGACGAATAAATTTTGTTTTGAATCTTCATAAAGTGTTGTCATCAATCACTCCAAACCATGAACCATAAAACGCAAAAATATAATTAACAATACCGATATTTATTTACATTCTTAGGAACGTTAGTAACCGAACTAATCGGTATAGTGGTTAGCGATACTAACTGCTTTATTATTATTATATATATTAACTGCCCGGCTCAAATCCCAGGCGATATATCGCGAGGCACGTGCTTACCTGGGGACATATAAAATGCACACCAAGTCCAGTCCTTTCTAGAAAGAAATAGGAAACCGAAGCCGTCCCCCTCCGTATTCTCCCCCAAATGTGGGACGAAGAAAGGGAAAGCTCTAATGTCACCAAAAAGATGCCCAAGGCCCGTGCAAACAACAGACGCAATCCTGGGTTCCTGGGACAATAAAATTCGTGGATCTTTCTGTTGTTACTTTCAAACATGTGAGATAAGTCCCCAAAAGAATGCTAGTAAGTATGTTAATATACATAAATTATTATGAAGATTAAAATATGCTCATATCTTTGTTACCAACAGACAGACAAAATAATAGCCTTCGAGTGGTTGATTACTCTGTAGGTTTCCTTTATGTTAATTAACTAATTATTTTACGATGTAACGTCGTATATTCTTAGCTATCATAAAATGTACGCGACGTTGATGAATTTAAAGTACCTTTAAAGTACCACACAGTCAGTAGAAAGGTGTACAGAAAGTTTTATTAGCTCAAACAATGTTTAACAATCGGCACCAACTCGTGTTTACAAAAGCCAATACATTTGGCTTAATCAAATAGTAATGAATAACTTAAAAATTGGTGACGTTAACTATAGTCTAAGGCTTAACAGGTTAGCTTATCACGCAAGCTGGCTCTGATTCGAAGTCGGCGTAAACAAGTCTAATAGCAAAAATAATTCATCGCCGCAGAATTATAATCGGGAGAGAGAATCAAAGTTAGCAATGTGGTCTTCAGGCAGGCAGAACACGTTCTGATTTCACCCTCCCAAACCATCGTTTAAATACTTCCTTCACTTCTACGTAATTTGAATATCGTGCGTGCTGGAAATTTGCATTCTGGCCGGAAAAGGATATGAGAACTGAAAGGAAAGCTATTTTAATTTAAAATAGCCAGTAAGAAAATTAAACGATACTCTGCAATCATTTAGAGCTTTACTGTCACTTCTGCCTTCCGTTGCCACGCCGGAATGCAAATTAGCTCACGTGTATTTAAGATGAGGTTCTTAGATTGTAAGACAGAGCGTGTTTTGTCGTTCTCTAGGCTACTGTACTAGTTGGGTAGCTGAGATAAGATTTGTACTCATCGGCTTTATAATTGTTGATATTCAATCTCCACGCCTGTTAGATTCGTGAGCCAGCTTCGCGTTAAATTGCTCTGTGTAGCCTTAGGCTACTAGATTACTTGAATTTAAACTTTTACATTTGACTGTTACTTTCAATTACGTCGTTACAAGCGGCTGGCTGATTTCGTAAGCTCCCGGTGTGCCTCAGCTTTTATTTTAGACTCAGCAATAGTTCTCTTAACGTCTACACTTAACGTCTAAGAGTTTGGACATTAATTGGAGATTGAAACACTTAGCAAACTTTATAACTGCTTTGCTTATTGCGAACGAGAAATCTAAATATCGATAAATTCAACTTAAGAGTTTTTATACTGAATATCCGAGAATTCCGCAAAATAAATAGCCATCAACCAGGGATTAGAGTCTCTTAATCATTATAAGATGGATATAAATCGCAGGGAATAACAGGAAAAGAACCAGAAATGCGATTTAAATAGTATAGAAGTGCTCGTTATGAAATCACGGATGGATAAGAAACATTGGATTCAAATAATGCCTTTACCGTGTGTTCCTAACTGCTAAGGCAGTAAGTAAAATTCCTCCTTGAGGGGAACTTTTTTCTTTTCCATTAAGCAGTAAAAAGTTTTCTCTAAGATTCGAAGATATCCCTCGTTTTAAACGAAACATATTCTAAGCGAAATCTAAGAAAAAAAAAAAAAAAAAAAGACTGCGAAGTAAAATCTTCTTCTGTCTGTATTTGTGCATATATCTATAATTCTTATTTTAAATTTCTTCTAAAGAAGAGAAAGGTTAATAAAAATTCCAGAGAACATTCTATACGGAAAGGTTATATTTTTAAAGTTTTTCTTCGGATTTCTCTATATCGAATATTAATTTAAGACCTTCCTCAAATTCTGTTTCAGAATAAATGTATTTCTAAATTTTTTTCTTTCATTTTATTTGAAATTCCCTTTCATATATTTTCAATCTTCTAAGGTAAGTTCTGATGTAATGTTAGTTTTCGTTCAATACCAAAAGAATCAGAAACCTTTAGGATCATGTAAAACTACATAAAAATTTTGACGAGTAGGGACATCTGTATTCCTTTTCAAGTACCATATTCAGACTTTTGATATTAAAAATATTTAATACATTGAAGGAAATATTTCGAATGGATAGTAATTGATATGCAAAACAGAAGTTCTGGAATATAAGTTTTACTTTTATGAAGTTTCGTATAAAATTGAATTCAAATGTTTTCCTTATTGTTTACCTTAAGTTCTGAAAAAAGGTTTAATTGCCAGCCTTATGGCGAAATACTCAATTAATGACATAATTTATCTAAATTTGAGAGCACATTTTCAAGAATTCAAAAGTATGAAAGCTGATAAACTGATATTTGAGTTATTACAAAAAATATTTATATATTTTACTTCTGAATGTAATATTTAATTAATATATGTGAAATAATATACATATATATGAAAAAAAAAAGAATATTTATGGAAACTTCATGAAGATTTTGATAAAGCACGACATACCCACAGAATTAATAAATGTACAGGGTGTTCATAAAGACCCGGACCCATTTTGATGTTTAATAACTCATAAATGAAGATATAAACAAACTTATAGCATTTATTGATGGAATAACTTATATATTTTCCTTTTCAGGTTTGATATTTTTGCTTTTGTAAATATCTTGCGCATGTTTTCAGATAATTTCCTTTTCCAGTCTAAATATCTGTACTTTCCTAAATATCGTCTGCTTATTAATTGCATTTTTCTCTCTTTTGTTTTTGGCATTTTTCTGGCATTGTTAATCGCCATAATATGCGCATATGGGGATCTGAAAGCCCCATGAATACTGTGAGGCACAAAGGGATTCCCTAAAGGTTAATGTGGGGTGTGGACTAATGCACGAGCGAGTCATTGGACCTCTTTTTTTTTACAGAAAAGACGGTCTCCTCAGTCGTATACTTAGACATGTTGGAAAACTTCGTATTTCCACAACTAGAAGAGCTTCAGCCACATGTCTTTTTGCAACAAGATGGTGCACCACCTCATTGGGGACCAATCGTAGTTCTTTGAATGACCATTTTACAGGAAGATGTATTGGGCGAGGAGATCCAATTCCTTGGCCACCTAGATCACCTGATATAACGCCGCTGGACTTTTTCCTTTGTGGATTTGTAAAGAACAACGTTTACAGGAGAAGAGTGTCGAACATTGATGACTTAAAATCCAGAATTACAACAGCAATAGCCTCTGTGGATGCTGACATGCTTGCGGGTACCTGTCGTGGAATTGAATATCGACTTGATATTCTCCGTGCGACGAAGGGGGCACACTTTAAAAAGCAAAGTTCATTGACAAGGGTCATGAAACTTTTTAAGTTTATCTAACGATTTATGTTATTAATTTAATCTATCTTTATTATTTTATGAGATATTAAACATCAAAATGGGTCCGGGACTTTATAAATACCCTGTATTATCGAATCTGCATTCCAGAAAACTTCAGTATATGATCAGACAACATATCCTGCACTACATATATGTTGAAGATGATATGAACATATTATAGAGAGATAAACTAAATCTTGCTTACCTTGCACTATAAGCTGAATACTTTTCTCCTCTCTTCCATAGTCATTGCTTGCTTCACAGGAAAATAATCCAGAATCAGATCGAAGAACTGAAGGAATGGAAAGTTGCGATTTCAGACCAGTCGAATGAACGTGCTCCCGTAGCACATACCTATGAAAAAAATTAAGTCATTCTTTGAAATCAGCGCTAAGGGATACTTATTGGAAATAACGATTTTTTAGTGATAAATATAGAAACAGAATTTTTTGTAAATACTTAAATGTTTTAAATACAGACATATACTAGTGCGACAGATCTACTAATTATTAATCCACAAATAATTTCTGAACGTCCTGACACTCACAAAATTATGAATACCCTTTTGTATAATTTCCAAAGACCTGCTCAATCACCCACATCGAGCTCATAAACAATGTTAAAGTGTATTAGATCAATTTATTAAATCCTTTCTAACATACTTTGGGCATCTTAATCTCCTAAATACCGTCGCCAGAATGCTTAAAATCATATCACAGTATATCCCTCGTAGAATATACGAGCTGCAATGCTTATTTGCAGCGTTCTAGTAGATTAACACACTTACCACCTCCCAGGAATACTCGCAAGCTATAGTATCAAATCAAAGATCACTATTGGACATTAAAAGATATTAATGAGAAATAATGTAGGTGTTAGACCCAGAGTTTTTCATTTATTTTTAATTCATTTAATATTACTTAAATAGATTTGAAAGCATGCAAGGGAATGAGAAATAATCCTTAATATAAATTATTACAGAGGAAAATTTTGTTTTTATTTTTAAAATTGATTTAAGAACATTAAAAAAAATTGAGTTATTACTTTGAAAACTATTATTACTTTGAGTCTCGAGCAGCCAGCCACATAAAAGAGTTACTATAAAGAAGAAAAAATAATGCAATGATTTTAATGAGCCCAGGGTAGTGTAATTTCATAAAAATATTTAATATCCCTAATTAGGCATCTCATGATATAAATACAGTTTTATTTAAAACAATCAGATTAAACTGTAGAGAAATTATTTTTAATACTGTGTTTATTGCTTTTCAATCATTGGCTGTGCTACTCAGTAATACATTGGTTTGGTTTATTTGATTATGTCAAACCACTGGAGGGCTATCTGCCTAAGGTGCGGAATGCCTTCATCGAAAAATTTCCAAGGAAAACTGGCTTGTATACACGTTACACACGGGGAAAACCACGAAAACACCATGCAGCCAGCCCGTTCGCAGGATTCGAACCTCGGACCGAACTATCAGTGTTCAGCAACACTCTGCCGCTGATGGGCACTCAGTAACAGAAGAATTAAATTGGAAAGTTAATTATCTTACGCTTTACTGAATGGCAACACGCTGATGCTCGGCATTTGGCTGATTCTTGGCATTCTATTTGAGGCAACGGCAACACATTGCTTTCAAATAGCCGAATTTATGGTTTAAAATGAGATATAAGTATCTTACATTTTCCAAATGGCAACTGCAGGAAGCTCTGGAGACATCTCTTTTTTTTTTTTTTGAAAAAACTTTGCCACTTCTCCCTTTCAAAATCGCTGAGTTTAGTAAACAAAAATTCATTAAATTTATATAAAATGTGAAATAAATCAAAAATAAATTCGGAATTCAAACTTTGGACTTCGAAGTACTCGCGCTCGGTACTATATGTATTAAAAGTTCTGTGACATTAACAGCTGCCGTCGTATTTTTACAATGCATACACATTCTCTATTACTTAATTGTTTTTAAATAATACATGGTGATAACTCTTGGTGACAACAATTTGGAAAGTAATTCGGATGCAAAAGTGATAAGAACCAAAAGTGAATTTCGAGACTAATAACACACCTGTTGCTAATAAACCGTTAAATAGCTGCCACAGATTTGAGAAGTTATCTTTCTGTAACACGCATAAATGAATTATAGACTCATAGTGAACCCTTTAATAGAACTTCTATAGAAAAAGTTTTTATTTATTTATTTATGTTTTTTATTTTATTATTTATTTTTTTCCTCCCGTGAAAGCTAACTAGAGTTTAGCCACGGGATAATAAACATAAATGAATAGTTTAGATATATTGAAATGTTGCACGCTTTTTTAATTTTCATCTGTAATTTAAAAAGCAAATTTCAGATCTTTCTTTATCAACACATCCAGTATGGTTGTCAGTTATAAAATGTTGTGAAAATTAATAAATATATTTAGTAGTTTGCTGTAAAAATTATGTTAGCGATAGCTGATGTGTTATTAAAAGACAACATGACCTCTGTTAATTTAAAATTTGTTGTCATGAGAAGGTTCACGCTATGAGAAATTTCAACAAACATAAAGTTTGTTACGAATTTGGTATTTAAAAAGCTAATGTTAGTTCAATTATAAATTAAATTGTTTTATTTCCCGCCTACGCCTTGTCTGAAAGACCCAGCTCAGAAAGCTGCCGAAATCATAGTAGGGTCGGAGAATAACATCAGAGTACCAGCTATTCTCCAGCCCAGACGCTCTTCGGTCGAGACCTTCGTCTGCCTTGTGACCGCCTGTTTGATCGCCATACGGATGCGCCTTCATCGCCTGAGGAACACATCCAAGAGGTCCAAGCCCGTTTTGAAGTGATGCACCGTTCCGCACAAAAGCGAGTGAACTTGGCGGAGAAAGTGAAGTCCAGATACAACACGAGAGCTACCGGACATAGATCCAACAAAGGAGACAAAGTGCGGTTGTGGAACCCGATTCGACGAAAAGGAGTCAGGCCTGAATTACAATCACCTTGGGATGGTCCGCACACAGTCCTAAACAGGCTGAATGACGTCGTGGTTCGGATCCGTGAGCCTTCGAACTCTTACAACAGATTAGCTCATTACTATGGCCATAGTATGTAATGTAAATAATTGTAAATAGTATAACAACATGGTCCTTTTGGTTTTTAAATGTGTATTTGATTTGATTTGTATTTAGTATTTGATTTGAATTTAGTATTTGATTTGTATTTGATAGCATTTGATTTGTTTTATTTATTGCATTTATTGTTCATGTTGTTTATTATTGTAATGTAATGCTTATTAATTAATAATGTAATGCTTATTATGTTAAAGAGATGTTAAAGGGCGAGAATGCTTAATTTAATTGTTGAAAAATGCACTTTCAATTAGAGAAAAAAATTATTTCGTAATATTCAATCGATTATTATTAAATGAGACTTTTTATTAACTAATGGACTGTAGGAAAATCTACTTTTTAAATAGTTTTGTATAGGAAATATGCAAAACCAAAAGTCCAATTATCTACAATTTATGCTTGGAAAATCTATTTTATAGGAGTAGTTTTTCGTGCACTTGAAAAACATGTTAAAATGAAAAATGAAAGCTTGCTCCAAAACGAGTTAAATCTTTATTTCATGTGTAAGAGGTCCATCAGATTTAAATTTCTATTCTACCAAGCCTTAACCTTTTGCGACACAGTGTGTCCGGTCTGGACACACTTAAAAATGTAATTCTGTACGCACAGAAAAATTGAATGAAAAAAGATTAATAGGTTACTATAGGTTACTCTGAACCTTCTTTATTTATAGTAGATGGCAGCTCAACACAACCATATATTTTAGCCATGTTTAGTTTTTTAAGACCCTCGTTTTTTAAAGAAATCTTCCAAATTTTTTTAGGGTATAAAAGGAATTGTTTGAAAAGAAATTTCGATGCTATTTTTTGGCTGTATGCTAATCTCCTTATTCTAAATTAGTTTTAAATTTTTACCTTAACATCTTGCCTAAAATCAAACGGCGAACCCTAGGTGTGCTCAGACCGGGCTCACCGATAATCTAGAACAAGTGAGAGTCTGTATTCTTTGTTTCTCCGCATCTCATCGGTCAGTTCATTGACAACAATGCTCGTTTCAGCGCTCTTTTCGAAGCTTTATTTAATCAGTGTGCCCAAAGAACTAAACGATAAGTGCTATCTTCACAATATTTTACTTGTGTACTCCTCTAGGCCTAATTAGACTGCCTACTATTTTTTTTTTTTTTTCAACAAAACTCCAACTTTAAAAGGTAGCGTGCCGGAAAGAGTTAAAAAAAAGTTCTCTTTTGTCAGTGAAGAGGTTCTTTGTACTGACTGGAAAAACTCTCATTAAAAACGCAAAATATGTAGCAGCTGTTTTCTAACAGCTGTACATATTTCTGTTTTGTAAAAATTTTAATCATTTTAAACTGTCAGAAACTGAACCAATAGGGAAGATTAATGCTTGGAAAATCACTGTGTTGATATAAGAAAGAGTTTCACACAGGATTGTTCACACAGGATATAATAAGAAATTTCTGGGTTTTATATGTTCTTGTTGTATTAGATAGAGCTCGTGGGGATTGCAGTAATGTCCATTTTAGAACTGACTTATCAAAGATTTCAGTTCGTTTGTTTCTACCTGCTAATGATTATTTCTAATTCCTGAATATTCATATTTTAGCTACAGTTCGTGTGAATCTAAAAGAATGAGACGAACATTTTCCATCACAAGTCAAATGACCTGTGATGGAAAAAGTTCAAATCTTTTCCCACAAATGTTGCCTTGTTTACGAACACATAACATATTTTGGTGAAAAAAGTTATTATTTGTTTGAATCTTGAGAGATAAAGAAGAGTTTAAAAGAAGAAAATTGTTTGTACTACAGTCAAGTAATGATGCAATTTGATTCGATTACTCCTTCCAGGTGAATACCGTGCAGGTGGACAATTAGATTATGCTTCTATATCAGCTATCAATTAGACTATGTACTGTTCGATAGAATATATTTCTGTTAATTTCGTTGGCTTTCTTTTGAGTATAGAATTAAAAAGAAATTGAATTGTCACATTTCTATATTTCCATTCTACGACTCACTATGCCTAGATATTAAATTTTGTAATTTTTACTGAGAAATTTAAGTTTTATATTGGCGCATGTTTTCACTTTGCTCTAAGAATAACTCAGTTGGCAAACTTATTAGTTTATGGCAAGCTATTTTCCTTTCCATTTTTACAACGTGCACGAGCGGAAAAAAGTCACTTCGTTCCAACTTTCAAATAATTTTAACAAAGTGCGTAAACCATGTTTGATGTTATTACCGCTTTCAACAAACATGTCAAATTTCAAAACTCGCCAATATATAAATT